TCTTCTTTCATGTTTAATTATTTTTCATTCTTTGTTAATGACCTTGCGATTGAACATTTTAATTTTTAACTGTACCACACCACTACTATTTCAATAATGAAGTCCATAAACCATATTCATTATTTACCTCTTTAAAGCTCTCATAAGAAAGAATTAATTCAAGATGGCCTATCAAACAGAGGGTTTAGAATGATGTATTAGACGTACTTACAGAAAAGACCATCAGGATAGTACTACTGAGATTGCGAGAGGGAAAGTAGAAGAAACACAAGACAGAGAAAAATGACATTGTCTATTTTAATAATATATGTAAATGTTTAGCCAGTTCTCTGAATTACAATAGTAGAATTCTGGAAAGCTCCTGAAACAAAGCACCCAGGGAGCCCTGACATAATTCACTCTTATTTCTGTGTTCATTCTCTCCTTGCCTTTTCTTATACACACATAAAGACACACCCATATGCTGCAAACCAAAAAAAAATTAATCTGTAATCGTGAGGTTCTGTCGTTACTTTAAGGTGCTAAGACTGCACTTAAATAGGCCCTTCATTGAAATGCTATATCATAAGACCTTTTTCAAATTCTCTTTCATTGTTTTAGCCATGCACAACCTATGTCTGTACTTATAGAAAACAAAGTTCCTTTACAAATGGCAAATGATATTTAATTGCTTCTTTGGAATGCTGCATCTTGAGGGAGAAGGAAAGAGTTCTCCATAATAATGGTCAACATTATTTAATTTCAAATTAATTATTTAAAGTAAGTAACATTTACAGCACTTAATATTTTATACTTTTCATGATTCAATGCAGACACTACAAAATAATGTGAACAATTAGATTATCAGTGTAACAGCACAAAAGTTACCCTGCACTTTACCTAGATATGTATAGCTTTATTAAGTACAGCTTTAAAAATATTAAAATGATTGTCCCATATTAAATATAGACTAATGTTCATTTTCTAACTTCTTCCTACCAAACTGTAGTACCAAGAAAGCAGAGATCTTTCCTTTGTATACTGAGGAATTTCAATAAGGGTAATGTCTGGCACATAATAGTTACTCCATAATTTTTATCAAACATTCTCCAAAAGATAATTACCAGAATTTAAATTTGACATTCACATTTGATATTCAATTATTATAAACTTTACTTAGAATGCACTAAATTTTAAAATATTACTATGAGCTATCTGTAATAAGAATATGAGTTTGAATATGAGTAATAATGCATCCCTTCCTTAACTTGGTTCTAGTTCTGTTGATTTTTAGCTGCTGAACATAGTAAACAGATTTTCCGTTTTAAAAATGGGTACTGTAGGAACACTTATTTCATATTGCTATGTTGTTATGATTGGATAAAATAGATAAATCACATAAAGTAGATCAAACAGTGCTTCTGCCATAGTAAGACTTCAATAAATGTTACTAACATTACTACATAATGAAGGTTTAGAAAATTACTACTTAGACCAAACAATAAAAAAACCCAAACCTTTACTTTAGCCTCATGTTCATTAAAAATCAATGGGCTCCATTATTTGTAACATTATTAGGATATAAGAACGGTCTCAGAGTATAGTAAGCCAGTAAAAATTTAATTACATGTAAGTATACAGTTTTGGCTATTACTGGCCTCTCCTAGCTATCTTTTATTATCAGCTAAGTGGCTTCAATAAAAGTGTTTTTGGATAACTTTCAAGATGTCAAATTATGTATACTATCTTACTGCTTATAAACACTGGAAGCTGGGATAGATAAGAATATGACTTCCAGCTTTACAGTATGTACATACACAATGGACACTCAAAAAATATCTCCACTCTAAAATTGAATGTTTCTGAACAAAAAAAGGCCTGGTAGAGTAGCTTCCATTTTTAAAGTGGCCAGTTTGACCACTCAATCTTAATCTCTAACTGTTGTGGGAGGCCTCAAACTATCTGGCTAAAAAAAGAATATTCTCAGGTAAACATTTTGTCAATTCTTTATTCCCTCTTTAGGACAATTTTTACCACTTCTATAATCACACTTTCTCTAACATATTTACTACATGCATTGTGATGTCAATATAGTTTCTTCAACTGGACCAGCAGTGTATCTTTAAATAAAAATGGCTCTGCCACAGAAGCCTAAAACCTTTAATTTGCAATGAAAAATACAGTATCCCAATGTTTAAAACAATCTTGGACCTAACACATAATGGTGAATAAGAAACACAGTTTTAGAATACCTTGTAAATTACAGTATCTCCCCAAAAATATCATCCTATGAGCTTTAAGAAAAGTATCATACATATTCTAATAACTTCTCTATTTTCTTTTTGAAAATCCAAGTTTATTACAGAGTCATCCTGCTTTACTGGACAAACCTATCACTGACTTTTTGTTCTCATTTCTGTATGCAAGGAGTTTGGAAATCACCATCCATCCTTACTGCAAGTCCAAAGTTGAACAGATTGCAAACAACTATTTGTGGATCTATGCGGAAGGTGAGGACCTGGGGAAAACTTGTGCCCCCACAAAGTGCAGCATCGCAGTTCACAAGCAGGAGACTCAAGAGCAGAAACACAGCAGGAGCCAGGATAGGGTAGGAAAACTTGAACAGCAACTGACAGTCACTGGAGGCTCAGTGCAAACAAGCCTGAGGGTTAAAAACTCTAGTGGTACCCAGTCAGGTGAGGGGGCCCCACATTTCTGTGAGTTTTATCTCAAAGACACTGTCTAGGTTCATAAAGTACATATTAGAGAAAGTCCTTCACAGGGAGAGAAGAGATGCCATTCTGAAATAAGCCAGAGCACTTTGTTCTTAAGGAGGTCTGTCCTTTGCAGAAACTACTTAACAAGAGCCTAACTGGCCTGAGGGAAGGGAAATGCCTAGTCCCAGTCAGTTCCAGGCTTCTGAAAGTGAGAAAGGAAATACCCAGTTTCAAACCACTGTAGTCATCCCGTCCCACCTAAAAGGAAGAAAAAAAAAACTGAGAAACACTTTTGAAGCTCACAATCCAGAAAAAGCTCACAAAAAGGCTGAGAGCTAGTAGTGGAACTACAGAACATTTCCATTCCCCTTGATCGTCCATTACAAGAGTCTCCTCTTACCTGTAGTTTCACTTTTTTGCATCAACCACCTTCTGAAAATACCACATGAAAAATGCTACAAATAAGAAACTCATATGTTTTAAATCACCCATCATTCTGTGTAGTGTAGTGACATGTCACATCATCCCATTTTGCCCTGCCTGTGACATAAATTGCCCCTTTGTCCAGTGTATCTACACTGTATATATACTACCTGCCTATTAGTCCCTACTAATGGTATGAGATGGATTCGAGGGAAACGACACTGAAATTAGTCAAGTGAGTTATGTTACTAATTTACTAATGCAGGTGTAAATGCCCCCACTGAAGAAATTTACAGGGAGACAGAAAGGCTGAGAATAAAACCTAGAAAGGCAGGGAAATTGTACATGGAGACAATCTCATAAGCACAAGTGAAACTTTGTCAGGAGGCAGGGTACTCCTTGCCCTGAGGGAAGTACTAATGTAGACTGCCCCTGTCTGAGGATGTGCGTGTAAACTTGTGTGTGTTGGTGAGAAAGTGAATTAAAGCAAGCTTGCAAAGTGAGTGATCCTTACTTGATAATTTAAATTTCTGTTGTGATTTGGAAATAGGCCCATGTACCCAGACTATAGTGGAGGTAGATGTGAGATCTGAGGGAAGAGCAGCAAGCTGGAATGGCTCGGGCAACTAGGAGATACACAGGACTGCTACGCAATGTTAGGCACTCAAACAAATAAAACCAATAACACATTTTACTGCAAAACTGCTTTGCAAAACTCCATGGTGTTTTAAATTGGTTGGAATTTGGCAATGACTTGAAAGTATACATTTTAGAAAATTTTTGTATATGCTGTTTCCTTTAGAAGATTTATGAGATATAATCTACTTCCTAGATATGAATTTTGATTAATATAATAAAATCTCAATCATTTCATAATACAGGAATTTTTTCTGAAACTGCTTAATTATCCAGTAGTGTTAGTTCACTTTTATAATCTTTTTTTTAACTTTTAGAGCTGTATTACTTTTAGAGAAAAATGAAGAGTATGGCATAGAAATTCCCCATACACCTCCTGCCCCAATGCATAGCTTTGCCTTATCGACATCCCCCTCACCAGAGTAGCACAGTTGTTACAGCTGACAAACTTACATGGGTGCTTCATCATTCAAAACCAATGGCTTACTTTAGGGTGTGCTGTTGGTGTCATATCTTTGATGATTTGGAAAAAACGTCTAATGTCTGTAACTACCAATACAGTATCACACAGAAAATTTCACTGCTCTGGAAGTCTTCTGTGTTCTGCCTGTTTATCTTTCCTCTGCTTCCCAACCTCCAGCTCTCACCATGTCCATAGTTTTTCTTTCTTCAGAATCCTATAGTTGGAATTATATAATGTATAGCCTTTTCATATTGGTTTGTTTCAACTAGTAATATATATTTCAGTTTCTTCCATTTTTTTTTATAGCTTTTACAGTTAACTACATTCCACTGTGTGGACACACCACAGTTTATACGTCCATTTACCTCTTCAAAGATATCTTGATTTCTTCTATGTTTGAGTAATTATGAGATAGATAGATAGATAAAATTAACTAAGTAGTATTAATGTATCAAAGTATAATAATATGCCACATATCAAGAAAGATTAAGTATCTCATGTAGCCCCAAATCTTAGTAGACAGTAGTACAAAATGATTTCAAAAATAAATCACATAAAGCCTTATAGCTCTATGAATCTTGCTTCATCCAGTTGGATTTTCCCAAATACTACAAAATAAATACAAGTAAAAGCATTTCCTCGTGGTAATATTGCCTCCCATAAGAACTATGTTCAGAACCCAGGTTCACTGCCAAATAATCCAAAACAAGAAAAACAAACTGGAAGAAAACAAACCACAAATCCAAACACCTTTTACTAAATGTGAAATCAAATAAACACACCTTGCGTCGTGCCCTTGATGCTGCCAAGTCGGAACCCTGGGGAGCGGCCAAAGGGAAGATGTTCCCACGAGCAAGGCCTTTACCGAAGAAGCTGTGCGTGTGTTCCTGGCAGACTCATTTCCAGGTGCCAAAAAGATTCCTGGTTGTTTTTTCTACTGGAATTCAAAATAGAGTATTGGAAATATTAAATGGATGATCTCCAGTTCCCTCATTGTCCACAAAACAGAATTATAGTAAAAGCACTTCTAAAAGACTCTTGATTTGCTCACTTTGTTATCAAATCAATCCAAAGAAGTTTCCAAACTTGGACTGTACTTGGGAAAGCTCAGTGACAGAGCACTTACCTTGCTGAGTGATTAAATGAAGAACCTTGAAAGAGGAAGATTTACCTGGATTATCTAAATATGTCTTTAAAAAGTGGATGCCCTTTCCCAGCTATGGTCACAAGGAGATACAATTACAGAAGTATGGAGAGATGCAATGTTGCTGGCTTTGAAGGTGAAAGAAGGGTACCATAAACTAAGGAATATGAGTAGCCTCTAAAAACTGGAAAAGGCAAGGAAACTTTGTCTCCATAAGGGAATGCAGTCCCACCAGTACCTTCATTTATGTTCAGTGTGACCTAAGTCAGGTTGCTATGAACTACAGAATTAAAACAAAAACCAAACTGTGTTGTTTCAAGCCACTACATTTACGTAATATTAAAGCAAGAACATCAGACAAAATCTGCTCTATTTTTAATTTCTTTGTTATCATTTTGTTATGCCTTATCATACTACCGTTAAGTTTATGACTATGTCACTTCATTCGCTTAAAAGAATTCTCTTGTCCATAGAGATCCTGTATTCTTGACAGTGCTAGCAATGAAAGAATTCACTGAAATGTTCTGTCACTGAAAATTCTGTGTAGAATTGCATAGGTACGCCTGTGAGTCTTCTGCTGATTTCTACTGCCCTGATTTTTTGGAGATGCTTCATTCTACTCGATTTATTTTCAAATGCTAAATTTATCCAGTATACTTGAGCACTTAAAGCAACCATACAGATCACTTCAGCACTGTCCAAAGTTTTCCAAGAATGTTTTAGGTGAGACAGTGTTGAAGAAAGGAGAACAAAGAGTGGACCCCTAAGCCACTGATGGTGAGCCTTTTACAGACAAGTGCCCAAACTGCAACCCAAAATCCACTAATTTATAGCAAAGCACCAACACAGCAATTAAATCTGAATACTGAGGTTTTAGTTTAGAAAAACAACTCATATATTAGCATCTTTTGTTTTAAAAGAAAAACAAATAACACAAATGCCATAGGTTTACCACCAATGGCCTGGGAACACAGGCTAAACAAAATCAGAGAAACCGATTACAAATACCCACCCGGATATGACTTCTATCTAGATATCTGCACAAAGCCTCATGCAACATGGGTGGGGAATTTCGAAGGTAACTGGCCTAGAATGTCTGGATGCAGATTAAGGGTGTGATACTGGGACTAAGGGTATGGATAATGGGAGTCCCACCCTGGGCATGGGTGGCACCAATCAATAGGTTTGTAGCCTGGATAGAATACAAAGGGACAGAAAGAAGGCAGGTTTGCTTCTGCCTGCCATGCCATAAACTGTTTCTCCTATATGGTGCCCCTCTGTCATGCGACCCTGTCTTGGAACCAGCTGACTATGAGATGAACCGTCTACAAACTGTGAGCAAAATAAACCTCCCCTCCTTTAACTTGTGACTGTTGGGTAGTCTGCCCAGCAATGAGAAAATAACTTAGACACAGCCTAAAAAATGACATGCCCCTGCCCAGAGAGATTCAGGGCTATGCTGAATCACTATAAGAGGAATGCATTATGATGTCTAAACAGAATGTTTAAAAAATGGTAGAGAACCACAAATCTTCAACACACTCTCCATAGATAAGGAACTTGATGACTGGAAATGTTATAAAACCCATTAATGTTTAGCACTCGAGCCAAGACTAACGCTTTCTGTGCAGTATACCTCTCAGCAGTTGTACTTAGAAGATGCAACCCAAAATTAGGACCATCCCTTAGGTACCTATACAATTTATAATGCTAAACGTTACAACAACTGAGGATTTTTAATTTTCAAAGTATGCAAAAACACATGTTCTTTGGATAACATAATCTTTCTTTTGTCTTTGTTAAAACTGTAAGTTGTTTGATCTAACTGGGATGCTATTCTTGCAATCATATCACCACACAATAGTACTATAGAAAAACCAAGCTACTTTATTCTTGGGGGCCATTTTTCATAGTCAGTGCTTTAAAAGCCATGCAGCTGAGAAGCGTTCATCACTTACAGAATCACCTCTATATTCTGATTTAACAAAATAGTTTGCTAGGCATCTGAGTACAAAATATTTATCTTTCTATTGGTTTTTAGTATTTCAAAATTATGAAGTAAGAAACCATTTCTTTTTCATGGAAATATACTTACCTCACTTAAGAATACCAAAAAGACTATATTTTTAGCAGTATTTTTAAAGAACTTCGTAGAGCCAAACTGATTGAAATAAAAAATAAGGACAAAAGTGAGTGATGACTGGAGGAAATATAGCCTAGCTTCATGTCTTTACAGAGAGGAATATTCATTGGAGCAGTGCTTCTTGTTGGAGATGCCTTATGCTACTGAAGTAAAAAAAGAAAATATTTCAGTAAGGTGCCGGACCTCTACATTATGCAGTGTAGCCTCCTTAAAATTCAATGTGCCCAAAGCCAGGAATATCTGCATTAAAGGCACTGTAATAACCTAAAAACACTCCCATATATTTCATATCTCCCAGGGGTATCATCCATAAGGGACAATTAGAACACCAGTTAATAGTTCTGGCCTAAAGTCTCATTCCTTGTTCATATCTTCTCAACAGGAGCTACCTGAATTGTGGCTTATTAAATTCCCAGGTCTACATTACTCCAATGACGGAGCTGCCTTGGACCATTTACAACAGTAATTCTGGATAAGTGTATCATCTGTTCCACAAGCTGAATTTTTTTCCTAGCTGGACTAAAGTCTAGGTTGTGGCAAAGAAAGGAGTGAGGAAGTAAAAAGTAGTACAAGAGAACTCATTGTTGGTCTCCTATCTAAAGCTTATCAATAGTAATCTGCAATGAGCTTGTTAGCAACAAATCTAATGTTGTAAACTCCAAGTATCTGTTTACAACTCAAGACAGAACGGATAGAGCTAATACTGGGCACCTAAAATCTCTAAATTCTTTGTAATGCTCTTTCTAATCCATTTTTCTTTATTCCAGCTTTCTCTACAAGAAATGAAGAGAAATATAGTAGTAAGAAGTGGAAGAGTAAAATAATAGAGCTTAAATTAAGTTGTAAGTGGTAAGGCAAAAATGGGGCTCCTATATATTCATGTGTTTATTATAAAAGAAATAGATGGTTCCCTTTTCAAATGGTTTTTTTGTTTTGTTTTGTTTTGTTTTTTTGTTTTTCTCTGGTACCGGGAACCGAACTCACGAACTTGCGCTTGCCAGGTAGGAACTTTTGCCGCTGAGCTAAATCCCCAGCCCCTCAAATGTTTTTAATCAATAATAACATATTACATCTACAACCAACCCCAATTTTTATTGGTAATCTGAGGAAAGAAAATAATGACCTCCATCTGCATGTAGAAATCAGGAAAAAGAGCCACAGTGAAACCAACCACAATACTTTTTTAGTCACCAAAAATTACAATACAAGATTTTTCACTTATATTGAAAACCAGTCCTAGGAATCAGGTAATGGTACTGCCTTTCTTTGTTCAAAACAGACTTTTATAGAAGAGAAAATTATATAATTTACGTTTATCTCAAAAAATATAATTTAATATTTTCTTAAAATATTAAGTTCTCCTTTGCCTTGCTTAGAGATCAGAAGTTGCTTCAAGGACATTTGGAATGAAATACAGTTTACATAGTTTTGTGACAGAGCAATAAGTTACTGTGCTTTCGTAGTTCCTGTTTGTTAACTGCTAAAAACTAGATGTGGAAGCGCTGACCCTGAACTGTAAGCTGTGGTGTGAGGCATTACGGAGAAAAACCCAACTCCAAGTGAACACATATACTAAGTGCCTCAGGATTGAAGCATGGAGCAAATGGTAATTTTTCCATCCCTAGAGAAGTTGAAGAAAAACAGGTGTTTTAATATAGCAGATACTTAGACTTCACAAGCAGATAGTCAGTGGCTTCTTTTTACTTCTCATAGTTGTATATGACACCAAAAATAGTCATCGCTGGATTAAAAACGGTTTCCTAGTCCTCCCAGGCTACAGATGTACTTGGAAAAAGAAAACATTCAGTGATTTTAAAGGAAAAAGACATTTCAGGTGTTACCAAGTCAGAACCAACACTGAATCAATAATGGAGAGTTGAATGGGTTTATTCCTCATTTCTAAATTCAAAAAGAAGAAAAAAAAAAAATAACCAAAAAGAGAAGTGGAACATAAACTGAGCAATGTTTTCACAAGTTCAGATCATGTAGACAGAAAGATTAAAAGTGTAACCCTCCGCACCTGTGCAGATAGCTATTTTAACTGCACTTTGAAATCAATTATTCCTCCTTTTTTTAGAAAGCAGGGGCACATACTAGGAGCCCTACTTTACAGAAGAGAAAGGGTATTGAGGGTTCTTGCCCAAGGGCAACTAACCCCCCCAGTGTCCCGACTTGCAGGCCAATGCTGCTCCTAGGGTTAAGAAGCAGCCCAAGTTTCCTTCCTGAGGATTTACACCCAGCACAGAGAAGTCAAAGCAGCCTTTTTAGCTCGTGTTTTCTCTCTGGAATGTTTGTTCTAGTGAATGATTTCGGGCCAAATGATATGAACGAACGAGAGATCTGTAATATTTATCTGTGCTACCATGTCTTAGGTCATTAAATATGCGCTCAAAGAGGGGGAAAAAGGTTCACAGGTTTCACAAGTAGGACCTGAAAGGAAGATCAGACATACTAGAGTCTCTCCAGTAATGAACTCAATCATTGAGTGCATTGAGCTTAAACAGGAACGCTCAGCAAAAACAACAAAAACTCGAAATGGAAAAGACTAGATCTCGCAGCCTTCTCTTCCTGCTCATCCACGTGGATACAAGCAACTTGTGCACTCAGTGATTCACCAGGCACTAAGGAAAAGGAACTTCCTTCCACCACCACCACCAATAAATTCACTCTTCTCTGCAATTATTATGGTCTGCAAGTACTCGGTCATTAATAGAGAGAAACAGAAAAAAAACAAAGTGAAGAGTAACAGGAAAGAAAGGTCAGAGGGTAGAATGCAGAACTAGAGGGCGGGATCATGAGATTAACTGACAGCACAAGGGAGCCACTCCCTAGCCACGAAGAAGGCCTAGGGAAGTGGGCGGGACTGAGGTATCCTGCGCCAGGCCCGAGCCTGACACGCTGGCTGGGCGGGAACCATGCGTTCCTTAGCAACGCGGAGGCCGCGCCCACTCCGCGGCCCTCCCGGGCCCGCCACCGCCCCTGCCCCACGGCGAGGGCCCCGCGCCCGAGGGGTTTCCGAGCGCCGGGTCCTCCGGCAAAGCCTCCCTCCACCCTGCCCGCCAGGAGCCCCTCCCAGGGGCGGGCCGGTGCTCTCAGCGCTCTGGAGGCTCCTTAAGGAGGTGCGCGCGTTTTCACTTCAGCACCCCAAGATGTCTGCGCTGGTCGCCCCAGTCCCCTCGCCCTCGCCAGACACACGCACACACCTCAGGTGAACCAAGGCAAGGGCCGACAAACTTGGTGTCCGGCTGGGAATGCTGCTGTCCACGGTCCTGTCACTCAGAGGCGGGGGCGGGACGAGTCAGCCGCACACCCCTGTCCCCCAAGGGCGGTAGGAAAAGGGCGTGGTCAGGACGGGGGCGGAGCCTCTCCTCAATCTACTCTCTGATTGGTCGTTGTCTCTCCCGCCTCTGCGCGAGTCCAGGACGCAAATGCGCGCGTCCAGTGGCCTTTGCTTCCTTTTGACGCGAGTTCCGAGTTCAGATGCGGTGCAACAAGGTGACTGTAGAAATTAAAAGACCTGAAACTTGATTAAAAATTTAAAACGCAAGAAATGTTATTTTGACTTTTGTTGCCTACACACTTGACACATATACACGCATTCTGTCGGAAATCCATTCTCAAGTGAGCATCCCAAATTGAAAATTCTCAACTGAAAAAAATGTGTTGACTGCAGATTCAAGCAGCTAAAAAGTTGTACAGCTGTAGTATTAATTTTAACAGAAAAAAGTCTATTTACAGAAGGTGATTGATGAAATGTGACAAACAACTGAAGTTTGCAGGCCCATTCAGGTACTTCGTTTTTCTATCTACAAAATAGTAATGAGATATTAGGTTGTTATTATTTGGGATGCATTTGATAATTGAATGCTCTGTACATGAAGCTTACATAGCCCTCAGAAAACCAGCTAAGAGGTTAGGATATGATTCTCAACCTATGAATAATGAAACACAAGCTAGGGAGGGATACATTTATTTAAGCATTCTGCAAACATGTCTGCAGTCATTTTTATGCTGCGGTAAGCTGAATTTAAAATTCCTTCAAGAATCTGTGCAACTTTCAATTTAATGTTTTTCCTAAAGTATTAAATCCTCTTTTCTCTGGCTAGCTCATCATCTTCAAAAAGCTCATAAGAAAGAAAGTTGCATACCAAAAACATAGAAGAGGGGAGGAAAGAAGGAAAAAAAGAAAAAGCTGAAACAAATATAAGTAGAATAACCAGAATGTTCTGAAATCTCCTGGGATATTATGGCTAGAAGTTAAATCCAAAATGTAATTTTATTTTCTGCCCTCCCAAATCATTTTCTGGTCTCCAATTCCACTCCCAGAAATAAAGGCACAGTTAAGTGAGATTGTATAAATTCTCTTGGCTAGAATTTTTATGGAATTGGCTTTAAAATGGGGAAACATTTTTTCCTACATAAAACCAAGATCAAAAAAGTGTATATGTTGTCAGAAATAGTAATAGTAAGAAAATAACTAACAATATCCCTGGACACATACTTTGAATTTCCACTAAAATGCTCATCATGTTGTGATAAAATTGTTGGAATAAAAGAAACACTTGCCAGTTGCAAATGATTTTTATTTTCCTGCCCTGCCGAATTTCTAAATTCTTCTGAAAACTTATTATGAATAACTCTATACAAGACTTCTTTGACTTGCATGACTGATGGCCCCCATTAAGTTTCTTTAATCTCGAAAATATTTGGTTTTAGTATAAAGAAAAAGAGTTTTGATTGTGCATTAATAAGTATATTATATAAATAAGTACTGTTACATTTAAGTAAATGTGGCAAATTCATTTGAATACTTTTTCTAATGCATATTCAAGTAAGTATAGCAAATGCATTTGTTTGAATAGTCTTACATATATAAAATATTATGCATTTAAGTAAATGCATTATATGCATGTAAATGTGTAAGCATTGAAATAAACACAGCTGTATATTCCAGAAATGTATAGCTCCAGATGTTTGAAGCATGTATTCAAATTTCTGAAACTATACCTTGATATCTAGTTACACGTACCATAGAAAATACTGTGGTATAAATGCACAGGAATGAATTTTAAAATTATATGTACTATGAGGAAATAAGATGAAAACGGCAAATAATGAATTTCTATCATTGAATTTGTTACAGCATATCCTTATAAGATGCACTTGTTCTACTAGTTATTCCACAAACATTTTATAAATGGGGAGAAGCCAATTTACCCTGTATGAATATAAGTACTGCTAAGTAGTTATGCAAATGTGACTCTCTTTTGAGCTCCATTTCTAATTAATTTTCCATACTCCCCATATGTGGAATAGGAGTTTGATACTATCCACTCCTTAGGTATTTATTTTGCACTTCACAAGTCTGTTTAAAACTTTGGAATATGTATACTTTGAAATTCCTCCACAGGCACAAATGTGTATTGGAAAAAAATTATGAAGAATGAATATAACAAATAAATAAGTACAGTTTGGAGATACTGAACATGAAGTAAATGGCATAGTGTAAAATTAAAACAACCACAGATATGTTATGAATGTTTGTTTCTTTACAATATATGACACACGTTATTTGAGTTTTATTTGTAGCAACTTGAAATATAAACTAACATCTAGTAATGTTATATGCCAGCACCTTAGGCCTATATGAATAAGTGTAAGTGGAAATTGGAATTGAAAAAATTCCAATTTGAATTGAAATTGGAAAAAAGCAATTTAATTCATTGCACGTACTTCTGTAACTGTGGTTTATCTTTAAAAATTGTGATTATGTTAAAAATATATGGTCTATTAAATATATTTAAATGATAAATATAACATGCAATTAATCTTGTTCAGAAGTCTTTTAAGTGTTTTTTTTTGGTTTTGTTTTTTGTTTTTTTTTTTGGTTTTTCTCCGGTAGCGGGAACCGAACTCACGACTTTGCGCTTGCCAGGCAGGCGCTTTGCCGCTGAGCTAAATCCCCAGCCCCTTTTAAGTGTTAATAGTTGAATTATAAAACTTACCCCCTCCAAGTAGCTATAACTAACTACTTAATAGGTCACACCTATTGATATTTCTTTACAAACATCATAGCACAAAACCATAGTAGTATTTGGGGTAAATTTTATTGAAGTTTTTTAAAGAAATTATTTCTCATTTGAATATGTATAGGAATTCTCTGTCATCACCAAAGTGTATGCTTGAAAGTCACAGTTTTTACTTATAGCACTACATTTAAACCACTTAATAAAAACTGGAAAATGAATTTGCTTTTTAAATAAGAGTTTCCCTTTTCAAAAGTCAAAAAATTAATGAACCATAAAAATAATTTCCACTGACTTATAAAATACTTGGAATTATAGCTTCATAGTACACATGTGAAATGAACTTCATGGAAAGTATGTACCTACTTTATGAAATAGATCATTTACATGATTGTCTTTTTAATGATTAAATGCAAGTTTGTCTCTGAAATCTAGAAAAACTACTATGTATGTTATATTCAAATGATATAAAAACAGACATTTTTTTGTGTCACAAAATGAAAGGATTTTGAAGATATAATTTCAAATATGTTGCTGCCAGCTTTTCCTTAACAAATGACATGTTTATAAAAGACATCATGTAGCCAGTTGAAAATGTTTACATTGACTATTTTTCAGTTTATTGAACATTGACTATATGTCAATGACTTCAAAACATTTCTGAAATCATGATGTGGTTTACATAGTAATTTACAGGGAGCATTTTGCCCCATCCTAATGTCTCTAGCTGGTGATTCAGTAATCCAAGCTGCTTTGATTTTGGCTTCTTCCCTTTCAAAATGAGGCCTCCACAATCCTCATATCAGCAGCTGCAGGATTTCACAGGAGCTTTTCATGGCCACGGTAAAAATTGAAACACATGACTGATCTAGGAGGTACTTTTGTCACTCAGTATTATTGCTAAGATTCATAAACATGATGTCCATTTAATATTACCTTCCTAAGAGCTATCTCCTTATGCTCCCCTTTATTACATCCCAGTTTCTCCCAAAATCTACCATTATAAAGTTTCTTATTGTACTTTTTCATAGTGTTTTACCACTTTTTATTGTACCATATACATAATTCACTTATTTATTATGTGTATTGCTTATTATTTTTCTTCATCTCGAGAGTGTAATTGCTTGAGGGTAGAGATCCTTGCCTGTCTTATTAATTGATGTATCTCAATTTCTAAGAGCAGTATATAGTATCTAAAGACAGGTGGGAAGAATTTCTTTATTGAATGAATTGCTGTGCCTAGCTATGACTGATCTGTTTTAAAATATTCTAGTGTTTGTATATATGGCACATCATTTATCTGTTTTCCTGTGATAGACTATTACTAGTTCTTCTGTAGAAAATAGTATGATTATGAACACACTAATTTCCTGGTGCAGATTTGCCAGATTTTGTCTTTTGTCCATAATTAAGAATAACAAAATTTTTAGAGCATGTCCATATTTTAAGGAAAAATAAAATGCCAAATTGTTTTCCTAAGGTATTGTGCTATTTGCCCTTCTAACGGAAAACTTTATTTGGTTTAAATGTATTAATCCTTTTAGAAAACCAAATTTGGTATTTGATGGCTTACTTTATTTTTATTTCATTGTTTTATATTGTTCATTATTCTTTTTTCCACTGACTCAATTTTCTTATTTTGCTATTTCTTTAAGTTAGAAACTAAGGTAGATGAGTTTAACTTATTTTTTTTTTTTTACCTAAATAGAACATTTAGAAATAGAAAGCTAACTTTAAAAATTGCTTTCATTGTATCCTATAAATTTTGACATGTACTGTTAATTTGAATTCATTTAAGGTGTTTAAATTTCCCTTTCATCAAATTTATCTTTTACCATTGGGTTATAACTTTAGAATTGTATGCTTAGTTTCCAGGTACTTGAGGGTTTTCTAGTATCTTATCATTACTGACTTTTCATATAATTAAACTGTAGTTAGAAAACATAAACTTTATGATTTTAAACATTTTGAAAATTATTGATATTTATAATCCAGCATACAATTTATTTTGATGATATATACTTTAAAAATTTATATTTTGCAATTGTTGGATATAGTATGTTATAAATATCTGTTACAGTCTATATTCTTACTGACATTTTTAGCATATTCTATCACTATTGAAAGACAAGTTTTAAATCTTCAACTATGCTTATGCATTTCTGTATATTTCTCTTTAATTATTTTAATTCTTGCTTTATTTATTTTGAAATTCTGCTTTTAGAAATATACACATTTAAGACTGCTATGATTCCTAATTAATCAATGCATTTATCATTATAAAATTTTTGTTTTGTTTTTTAATGTCTAGTAATATTATTTATCTTGATGT